GCAAAGCACAGGGACCGCGGTTCAATCCCCCAGCACCACATGCCAGCCAGCCCCGCCCCCTGGTGGGCTGAGCTAGCCACACACACACACACACACAGTAAATAAATAAAAATGTAAAAAAAAAAAAAAAAGATTAGAAATCCCTGGAAATTGTTGTTTGCATTTCCTTATTTGATTTTGGGGTTTCAGGAAAACACTGAAAGGCTGGAGGGTGTAACAGTGTTAGAGCTCACACTTAGTATGTTCATTCCCCCAAATGTATTACCCTATAAAGTAGATGAATGCTACTTAGAAAATTAGAAAAGGTGTAAGATCATTAATGTAAAAGAATTAAAATTACAATATAATTAAAATTTTATGTTAAATTATAATTTAATTTACATTTTTCTTTTGTGGAGCTGGGGATTGAACTCGGGCCCTTGAGCTTGCCAGGCAAAATCCTACTGAGCTATCTTCCCAGCCCCCAAAATTATAATGTAAGAGTGACAAAAAGACATATTAAACATGGAGACTGTGGATACAAATGGATTAGAAATATATTTTTTAAAATGTTGAGTAAGAGTTAAACAGAAGACCCAATGCTATTATGGGCTACTGGACTCCTTTAGAATATTTTGCTGAGTTTACACACCTATAATATTCAAATAACGGCACTTAGAAAAAAAGGGGTATACAGATGAATGTCCATTTTGTATCTGTGTATTCAAAGTGGTTAGGATAGATATATAGGTACATTCTCTTAATGACTAGAGGGATTTGTTCTAATGGTGTTTGTAAATAGAATATCAAGTCCGCATCTTGTATAGCACTTAACCACTAGGAAGAATGTATGCAGTGTGTTAATTATTGAAACTGTCTTACCAATTTGGTTTGAAAGTGTCTCATTGCTATTTGTTTCTCAGTAAAATTATGGAAAAAAAAATAAAATAAAATGTTGAGTAAGGATGAATAGTAATAATTGCCTAAAACTTTCATAGTGAACAGTTTTGCAAAAACTATTCATTTATACCTGATCTTATGTTTAATGAAAAGAAAATTTAGCTTTTTAAAGACATGTAGAATGGGAATTTAAGAACAAAAGGGGAAATAAAAATGATTAAGATGGGGGCCGGCCAAATAGCTCAGGGGATTAAAGTGCCTGCAAGCAGGCGCAGGGGCCAGTAGTTCATCTCTGGGCCTGCCTTGGTGGTGTGCACCTGTAATCCCAGCTTTTGGGAGGCTGTAAACAGGTGGATCACAACAAGTCCGATCTAGTAGTGACACCCGGAACACCCTGTAGACCCTTCCATAAAATACAAAAAAAAAAAAAAAATTAAGATAGGATGTCTATGTACTGGTTCCCCAAGATAAATGGAGTGATCGTGTATTGCAAACATACTATTAAAAGAAAGATTGATTCAGAGACACTAAAACAAACTAAAGACACTAAAGAAAGTTATTAAATCGCACTCAGAACAAGGGTAGACTAGCAGTATAATTGTATACATCCATCATAGAATAAGATGGCTAAAGTAACCTTAAAGTTAGCATGACAGTTTTCATGATGGGAAATAAGAACTTTCATATGGAATTTTAATTGCAGGTATTCCACATGTGTTCTATAATAGCTATTAGCTACTGATCTAAATTGAAAATAGGCAGTGTGCTGAAGAGTGGGACTACTGGAAAGAATCATTAAACCTGTGGCTCAGGATCATCAATGTCCTTCACTCAGCCTGAGTTGTGTGAGTGTAAAGGAGGGGTAACCCAGGGCTCAGCTCCCACCTGAGAGCCTGGTTCCCACCTCCTGCCTATTACTTCCTAGAGCCTGTTTCCTCTTATGCACACTATCGGTACCATTGATATAATTCATCAGAAGTTCTTTCTAAAAGGGAGACAGATCCCTGATGTAGTGGGGACTGTGCGGACAAGTGTGTATCACTGAATTTGATCCACAGGCACTCTGGGCTTGTGGTGTAGTGTCTTTGCTCTCTTCTCACAGCAAGTTAGGCCATAAGTGACTTGGAAAAGGTAGAAGGTTCTGTTCATATGTGTTGTTTGTGCAAACTAATAAGACTTACAAATTATTTTGTGCTTGTCAGACAAAAGACCTTCTGAACATGGGCCAGGGAGATAGCTCTGCAGTCTTAAGTGCCTGCCCGACAAGTGCAAGGACCTGGTTTTAATCCCCAGTACTGCATGCTGTGCTGACCCTGAAACTGGGTGTGGTGGTGCATAGCTGTAATCCCAGCTCTGGGGAGGCTGAGACAGGAGGATCACTATGAGACTGAGCTGCATAGTGAGACCCTGTACCAAATATATACATACATACATACATACATACATACATACGTAAATAATTTTTTAAAAAGACATTCTGAATATGAAGTTATGTTAATGTAAATTTTAACATACTTTTTTAGTGAATATAGTTCTACTGACTCCTTCCTGTGTACCTCAAGGTAATTAATTCCTCATGTTTGAATACTATATTCCTTGAAAAATTTTTCTCCAGGGTGAGAAGCGTCAGTGTGAAACAGTCTTTTTTATAAATGCCACATACGGTTTTGCTAAGGCATTGGTTAGGTTTTATGGAGAGAAGTATTAGCTTAGCTAAAGAAGTAAACAGTCTTCAATAAGGGAGTTTACTTAATGAAAACAGAATGCCAGCCAGATATGAGAGGGAGGAAAACCAGGAAATTAAAATTTACACAAGACTAGTAATACCAGTCTTCCTCAAAACAGGCAAATATTTAAATACATAGAAGATGTATGTGGAAATTACTATTGGCACAACTATAGCCTGAGCCCATCTAAAAAGAAATTAGGTTCTGTTTGTGTTAGCTGCATTTTGTTCTACACTGTCTTGCAGAACTAAATGCTACATGATTCAGGGATATAGAAGGTGAAAAATAAGC